GGTTCCAAGGTAACGCGGGTGAAGAAAGCAAAGGGGCGGGGATAAGAGGGAGGGGAGGAGGAGGAGGAGGTGCCTCTCAATGTCTGTCCTATTGGCTGCCCGCTTTGTCAAAAATCCTCACCTGAAAAGCCAATCCCCGCGTCTGATTAGTCCGGAAAGGGCGGGAAAGAGAGGAAGGGCGGCGTTTTTTTTTTCGGGGAGGGAGGGGGGAGGCTATGCAGGGAAGCGGTCTTATTGGTTGGTGCACCGGAAATTCCGAGAGAAAGGGGAGTCCTCTGATGATGTAGGCGGAGTGGTTTTTATCCCAGCTGCGAGCGGCGAGTTGTCAGTCTGACGGAGTCTAGTGTTGTGTTCACGCTCCGCTAATCTCGTATTAGGGTATCAATTCAAACTCCCTGAACGCTGGAGCGTGGCTAGCCTCAAGTTTCTTCGTAAGCTCTTCAAATGTGCTTTTCCTAAGCAACCTTAAGAAAATAAGGCATATTTGATCAATATTTTATCTTATTAAGATAAATATTTATTAAGGTATATATTGATCAAAATTATCAATATTTTCCTTATTAAGATAAATATAAGATTCTTTTTAACAATCTTTCTTGTACTCTAAAAAGGAATGACATCAAAGAGCCATGCATTTTAATCGCAGTGAGAGCTCAATGTAGTAGACATCCGTGATACAGAAATTTTCGGGACCAGTCATTTACAAATAACATCGTCATCTTTATGCAAATGACACAAATTGGTGCAGTGCTGTCTCTTTATATTTAACAGATATTTGTTATTATTAGAAAGCCTTTTGTCAATTAGTACATTAGAAATGAGCACAGTGTGAATATCAGTGGGGGTATTCATTTAACACAGCTTAAAAATGCCATTTTTTGTTATTTTTGCTTTGTATTCATTCAGCGATTCAAATGCTATATATACTCCAAAGTGCTTTTTATTATGAATGAAATCCCTATCCTTATTTTATCTGCATTTTTTTAAAATTGTGTTTTCACCTGAAGTGGCTCATAGAAGATTTTTTGTTTTAAATGTGGAATGCAGAGTTGAAACAAATGTTTGAATTTGATTCCAAACAGTATAGGTTCTTTATTTTAAAAATGCAGGCAGTTTTAAAGTTACAACAACGCTTTAATTCAGGTTGAATTGAATTAAATTGAATTGAATGACCAGGCCCGATTTTACAATAGTTTTTACCATGGTTATTAAGTGACTCATAAGGTCATTAAACTAATCATATGGTTAAGCAATTCACTTCCACAATTGACTGTGCTTTTCTGAAATTGATTGGGAAGATTGCCTTCTGCAATCACATGACTGCAATTGTAACCATTGTAAATGTGAGCCAGTTGCCAAGTATCCAAATTGACTATGGGAATGGTGCGACTTAAAAAATAAGTCACTTTTTCAGAGGCTGTAATAACTTTGAACCATCATTATATGAACTGTCATAAGTTGAGGACTAACAATAGCTCAATGTCTCCTGAATTAATTTTAATTAAGTTGTATTTTCCTTACCTCCTCTTTGAACCCAAGTGGGTTTTTTGCTATAGATTTGCAATAATAAATATCTCAAAGTAGTAGGTTGCTCCGGTTAATGATCCTCTCATTTCTGTCTAAATTTGTCAAATAACTTCAAGGGATTGGGAAATCGGTCTTTCAATTTATTTAATGTTATTACATTCATACCCCATTTTTCCCCCAAGAAAATTGAAGCATAGTATCTTACACAAACAACATACTGTTGATTTTTTTTAATGGTCAAAAAGGTTTTAATTGACCTAAAAACTTCCAGGGAGATTTTTGTATCTTTTGCTAATAAGAGTGGACCAGGGGTGGGTTTCTCGCCCCGTTCCAACCGGTTCGGTTGGAACAGGGTCGGCGGCGTCCTCGTGCACGTGCGTGGTGCACGCATGCGTACTAGTGCCTGCGCGACGCTCCAGCTGCTCCTGGACGATTGCACAGGCGCTGTATGCATCCTGCGCATGCGTGGAAGCGCAGAACTCATCAAAAC